TGTTATCTAGTCGACGTTTTAACACATTTAAGTTAATGAAATAATAATAGAATGAACTTTGATGCCTTGTTACAAATTCAAATATACATGACTAACTAGCTGTTCCCGTACGATTTCATCAGCATAAAATTATTTTATAGTTTACATGTGTCAAATTATCAATTACAAATGTCAAAATGACATGACATGATGACAACCTTGCTTCCTTGATGTTGGCAGCAACTTATGGTCTCTTTCCTATCTTTTTATCCTAAATATTTACCCCCTAAGCTTAATGGCGTTAAGATATTTAGCCTAAAGCGTGACGTAAGTGTAGGGCTTGTTATTAAAAAACAATTATTTAAAAATATGCTCTAATTGCTGACATCTTAGGCAACAAAGAAGTGTGTGTTTACGTTTTATTATAATTAGATGTAACCTGAGAATACTTAAATATTGAGGCTGACAATCTCCAAAGTACACCCTCTATATCTTTTAAACAGCCAAAGAATGCATACTTTGTAATACATCCGAAAAGAGTTACATTTATAAAGCTTTCAAAAGATATGTAACTGTTTTCCTCGGATTTAAGACATATTCTAGTTACATTTGTGGGGTTTTCGCCAAAGTACGTATAATGAAGCCGTAACAATTGGCGCGCTGGAGACAGGTGTCCGCACGGACAACGGTACACCGCTCCGGATTGCTAGGGCTGCCAAAACGCATTTAAAATATGCATTTTATTTAATTACGCTCTTTGTGATTTTACTTCGATTATTGAATGAAGCTATGTTTTTAAAACAAATGTTATTTAGTCATTAAAGTAATACATTATTATTCTGACTTTTCTCATTATTTATGTTTCTAAAAATCGAATATTAAAACAACTTTTAAATGGGTAACAGCGTCATATATGAAGGCCACGCATAAACACATTCCATTTTCTTCACATCTGACATGTTATAAACGGCGCTTACGAGACGAAGTATTAAATATTTTCAATATCCGGCCGACAAACTCGAAACTGTCATAAAATTAACTTATCCAATTGCCCAATAACTAAACTAAGATCTACTAAGAACTAAATTATAAATTACTGTTAATGGTCATCATATTAAATCAATTAATACGTTTTATTGATACCGTAGTGACACCCCTAGCGTATCACAATAAACCTTATCTACTCTAAAGGCAGATGTATCGAACAAGAAGGCCATTGTAGGGCTGAACTAAAAAAATGCACAAATTGTCAATATATTATTGACGTCTTTAAATCGAGCTTCTTGCGATTCGCCAGGTGTTTAACGCAGCTGGCCCTACCTGAGCTTTACACAGCTTTTACAAAAAGCTCTTGACTTCGTAACTTTAGCTTTGTTATTAATTTAGTTGCTTCGAGTTGTTTCGAGTTTGAGTAAGGTTTATAATTTATTCATGAACTGTTTCGCTTTAGTTTGTATTACGTTAAGGTACTAGTGTTCTAAAACGTAACAGAACCATAATAAGTGTTTTTATAGGTTATTTACATGTAACGTGAAGTTTTTTCATAACGGAGGCCTAGTTTTAGTCCCTTTACCTTTCCACCCTTTTCTTAAGAGGGAAGGTTGGGAAGAAAAAGTGGATTTGACGGTGGAGGAGACGCATACGAAGAAGGAATATCCTCTTCATGTGCGTTTCCTTCTCCGTCAATTAAGGGTAGGCAACGCATCTATAATTGCGGATGTTTATGGGCATCAATCGCTTTCCATTTCGGTGGATTCAAGTTGCTGCTTGCTCGTTTGCCACCTTATTTTATAAAAAAAAATACTCCTAGGAAAAATCGCAGATTTCAATGTGAAACTTTACTTTATATAAATAGCGGGAAATTGTAAGGTCCATTTAATACAAGCAGAAATGTCAATTTGTTACGTCGATTGCGCAATATTAAATGCAACACGAAATGTGAGTAATGCAGATAAATTGACTATTGAACGCGACGCCTGTGCCTTAAGCGGCACAATGGGGTGCGATATTAATTTTAACGAAAATATTACTATTCAGTAATAAGTATTGGTCTCACCCTTGCTATTATATTATACAGGATGTTCCTTCATATTACTAAAGTATTATAGAGGTGGAGATTTATTTTTGAAAATTTTTTGAACATACTATTTCGCCCGCGAAACCGTGTGAAATTAAAAAAAAAAACAAAAGTGAGTAGCATATGTGTTCTTCCAGACTATCCTCTACATCTATACCAAATTTCATCGAAATCCGTTCAGCTGTTTGGGCTACAAACTCTAACAAACATTCATCCATCTAAACTTTCGCATTTACAATATTATAGAATAGTAAGATTTAATATATCTTATGTTATTCAATGTATTCTGTTGGTAAATATTTTTTTAATCGTTTCAATAATTTTGATTATTATCACAAACTTGCAAATGCATGTTTCTTACAAGATTAAAATAGATTTTCTAATAGACATATAGTTAAAGTCTGTTCCTCTAGCACAAGTTCTGCGTGCATCACGCAATACGATTCTATTGATACTCTCACTGGCAGATTGCTAATTACGCCAGTTGGTGCGCCACGTAGGGGGTAATAGACCGCACGCAGGAAATCAACGAAACGGCCAGGGACGTAGTAATTGTTCGCAAAATAATAGTACATTGCGACCGCGTTTAGGCTCTGGACTAATTTAACTAATTACAAAGTCAATTCCTGTCGATGAAACATTTGACTGTCGTATTGCAGTACTACGCAGTTACGGTTTTTCGTAATTCTGAACCCTTTTTTACAACTAGATAACATTTCGACCTCGTGAAATTAAAAAGATAATAAAAAATATATATAATCGCCTCAGTAGTTTTTGAGTTATTTCAATACATACAAAAATACAAATCTTTTCACTTCATTATATTATTTATAAAGATTGCCTTAAATCTTTTTATAGAAACGCACCTATTAAAAAATAAACTATCTGAATAATTTACAATAATTCCGATTGAATACTAACGGATAAACACGAACACCCTGTATTTGTTCACCTTTTGAATCGATACAGAAACAATATTTGCGAAATGCACAGATCCCGTAATCGCATACGACATATTTATCGCCCGCCGGGGGGCTATTCTGAACGCTCATTGAATTTGCCCCCTTTGGACATTGGCCGTTTATGGATTACTATAATGTTCTTTTACGGTCTTTGTAGAGGCGTTCGCATATTGTTAAACATTTTAATATAATTAAATGTAGAATACAAATGCTATCTAATATAATAAATGTTTATTACTTTACTTTTACTTTAAAAGATTTAATAGCAGATGAAATTTGATTTTTTAAATGTTTGTTGTCAATATTAATTGTAAGTAATTAGACTAACATAAAAAAGGGGCCAAAACTCGAATCACGATACTGACGTATCGAAAATCTCAAAGTTTTTTAATTTTACAACTTCTGCCCCCCACCCGTTCCCTTTGCCCCACCGCCCCCGCCCGGGGCCAATTTGTTCTTCCGATACAAATATTGAATTCCCTTTCCTTCCGCGTCACCTCAAAGTTATTTAATTTAACAAGACCAGTCTTTGCTTGGGGTTAATCAAATTTTGTAAAGACTCGATCACCTGATGCTTGAGGACTGGGTCTTTTGTAAGTGTACATTGATCTTGTTTTAATTGTTTACATACTTAAGGGAACGATTGAAAAGATCATCACATAAGTGAAATAAGTAAAGGCGAAGTACTATTAAGTGTAATTAAAGTTGTAGATGCTAAATGGAACGTTACTACAGGAGCTATGCCACAATTTCACGAAGTACCGTTAAGTAGAAATATTTTATTAATCTGGCAAGTAAAGAAGAATGTATATATGAATTTCGGTAGCCACGATACAGACTAGTGTGGCCATAACTAACTCCAATAATTCTAACCTCTCTTTCCTTTCCAATAACTATCATCAAGTATTCACCTTTGTCTGTTCTTTTCTGGTGATTTAAACCTGTAATATCTTGTTTAACTATCCATTTCCTCAAGGGCCTGCAACGCATCTGTAGTTCCTCTGGTGTTGCTGATGTCCATGGGCGTTGTAGACCATCTCGGTGTTCTCACCGCTCGTTTTCCCCTTTTTATTATAAAAAACTAACTTTTAAATGTAACGTAAATAAAACTGATACGTTTTACGCTTTCAAAATCTTATTCCAGAAGAGAATTTAATACACTCCTGAGTAATTAAGTACGTAACAAATAAGTAATTTAACATATAACAGGTCTTAAATCGATTCTAATTTAAGCGGATTAAGTAACAAAAGTTTGTTGAATCAGTAGCAACATTTGGGCGCCGACTCGCTTAAGTATTCAAGCCCAAGTTGTAGCTTAAGTCTTCAAAGAGATGTCTGTATTAAGTATTAACTTAGTTCGCTTTAAATATAAATAGGGGTTCGAGAGTTGCCAGTCTATCGGAATTTGTTATTAATTTGAGTGTTATTTTTGGTACTATTTAGATCGGTTACTTACGTCAATAAGTAATGTTTGTACATTATTAATCTATGAATCCAGTTAAATATCTAACTAGCTGCAGTTCGCGACGCCGCCCGCGTGATATTAAAAAATAAAACCTATCTTATTCACAAACAAATTAGTTATCTAAGTGTGAAAGATTTTTAGTAGTTTTTGAGTTATTTCAATACATACAAAATTACAAAACGTTCCTGTTCATAATATTAGTATAGATTAACGGGTGAATATTGAAACGAATCCTAAACACTGCTTCGTAAAATGAAGTCAAAACCATAATGGAATGTGGAGTTTAAGCGTGACCTCATCATTTAGGACGCTAAAACATGTTATGTCGTTTTAGTAATTGTCGTCATTTTATTTCATAATAAGCTTTGATATTATTTTTACAAACCTTTGCACAATCAACAAAGAAAATATCTTCAATAACACTAAATAGACAGAAATAATCGTCGAGTTTAAATATCCAAAGAATAAGAGTTTACGTTTTTAAATAGATTTGTAACCATTATATTGTTTGTTACAGGTTCCTCGTGTTCTTTGTGTACTATGTGTTAGTGCATGATGCCGCCGCGGCGGCGCTGCGGTCGCGCCACGTGATTTGCAACAAAATGACGGACTCAGGTCCCGCTAATTCCATTATCGAGGGAACTGTAAAGTTTCGCGACGGGAAAAAGGTAAGTTTTCATTATATGTTTTTATTCATAAATACCATATACAATTAAAATGCTACAGGGTAATTCTAGCTGAGAATGGCGCTGGTATCGCGGTTTATTTTTGATAGAATAATTTGTAGGAAATAACAAGAATTGAGACGATTATTTGATTATTTATTATTCATTCCAAGCCAAATTAGTTTGTGAACCTAAAGTAAGTTCACTATACTGATAGTTTTAACTCAATCTTATTAATACCTCAAACTCTGATTGTACAATAATATTCTTTTAAAAGTATTTAAAAATAGAAAACTCTATACTCCAAACTTTTTATTCAAAATTCCATTTCACTACCCTAACGAGGAGGTTCCCCAAGGAATACTTTAGGCCACTTTTATTTCTATTTCCAGTTCAAGTTGAAACATTTATACGTGAAGTTAAACTTCGTAAACGCGACTGTAGGTCTGCATTGACTAATAATATGTAGCGGTCCCCTGCCATTTTTTACGGATAATTACATAAAAAACCCAATAACATTCTCAGATACATCAGCTATCTTCCAATGTAATTGCCATCAAAATAAATACAGCCTTTCCTGAGATTACCTGCAACAAAAACCAGACAATTTTTTTAAGTTACATTTAGGTTTTCAGCATATCTGATTGTTTCTTCTCAATATAATAAACGCAATTTTATTTTATCTATAGATATAGATTGTCCCTTATAATCTATTTGTAAAAAAAGGAGACGGCAATATAATAAAAGCCACGGCTGTCCCAATATAAGGTATTTATTACCAAGTTCAATAACTATGCAATGCACATTGCCCTTTACAAAGCGGTTGCGTTGACCGAAAGTGAAAGTTGCTATCAGGTTTTATGCAAAATGTATTTATAGAGATGAAATTAAGATACGTAAAGATACGTTATTGAAAATATTGAAATTCTTTTTTAAAAATACGGCTTATGTTGAAATATAATGAATGAAATTACTTAGTCCACATTAAATTCTACTAATGTTCCGAATAAATTTTTGTATTGCGTTGTAAATTTATATTATAGTTTTAATGTTAGAGATTGTTGCAGATTCAAACTAAAAGAAAAGGATTCTTGTGTCTTTCTTATATTATGGCTAAAGTTTATATGTATGGATGTTTGTAAGAGTTTGCCGTCAAAACCGCTGAACAGATCTCGATGAAATTTGTCATAGATGTAGAGGATAGTCTGAAATAACACATAGGCTACATGCTTAATTTATTTTTAAATCCACGAGAATGTAGTTGTGGGCCAAAGCTAGTGTATACATATTTGTTAAGCTAACTACACTGTTTCACAAAGAAGGAGTATATAGTTAGCAAAGTATAAAACGTTTTGTATCACAAAACGGCAAGGCAGCATTCGATAATAAAGTGCAACTCGACACGCACGTGACAGGGAGGGATGGAGTCCGCAATGTCATCAATGACAGTGACATGCAACACAATGTATACTGATCTTCACGGTTCACAATTATTTTACTAATAAAACACCATACAATTTTATTATACTAGTATTCGCGACTCCAAACACGCGGTATAAAAAAGTTTGTGTTCTTCCAGACTTCTATGTTAAATTTCATCGATGTCCCTTCAGCAGTTTAGGCGGAAAACTCTAACACACATCCATCCATCTTAACAGCTGATTATTCAATACTTAAATAATAGTGCACAAAGATATGTTTATGTATGACTAGCTGTCGTACGCAAACTTCGTTAGCGCAAATTTGGACAACCCGTTACATCATTTGGACAGCGTGAAATTAAAAAAAGTAGCCTATAATATGCCTATCTACAGCTACCCTCTAGTTAAAGTATGTTGAAATCGGCCTAGCCGTTTTGGGGATTACCCGGAACAAACGCGGCTTGCGGACAGATAGATAAAACATTTTTAAAAGCGATTTTCGTTATTCAACGCAAATACATCTTCCCGAAATCTAGAATTTTCCTTCTGGTATAAACAGATACTCCAATTTTATTACATGTTTACATGATATCAGATATTATTTCTGTATGTAACACTTAAATAAAGTTAGTTTTTAATATAATTCTTATCATATAACAGCTGAATATATGACCTAGTTTTTGACACTAACAACTTGTTCAAATATTTGCATTGCACTATCTATTGAAGTGAGTGCAAAATCATTTTAAATGTTAATAAATCACACATACAAGAATAGTTCTTAATGTAAAAATCACGCATTGCATTTTAAATTTTACTTACTTACAATAGAGTTCATTGTCAATTGTTCATAAAAATTGTCAAAGATTTTTTTCGATTGATATAAATATCTAGAATTGATTGCCAAGTCTAGTGACGCCGTCTCAAGGATTCCTATAAGTACTTTCTACTAAAAATTACAAACAATTGTCATCTGTATTTGTACGTAATAAGAATGTAAATCCTTTGACAGTAGTATTAAATATTCCACCATTGTTTTGCTTGAATTGTTTTTTAGTTATCGTAATAAATACTTTGCTTGAATATTGTTTTCTCACTAAAATGATTAAAGTATTATGACGTCATTAATAAGAGTAGGTAATTATCTGTACTAATGTTGTAAAGAGGGAAATGTATTTTTGTATGTATTGTAACTCAAAAAAGACTGGGCCGATTTAAAAAATTCTTTCACCATTAAAAAGCTACGTTATCAGAGAGTATTGTAGATTATGTTTTATACGTCACACGAACGAAGTCACGAGTCACAGGCAGTTAACTATGTAGCGGCTTAAAGATACGTAAGCGGACAAACCAATTGTATGGTTTTTGCGGGGCCATATTTTTCATATATTTAATTTGTGTTCTTTGTAAAATTATTAATAAATCTATACTAATATAATAATAAAATATAAATAATAATAAGTGGTACTTTTGACTTTCAATTACAGAAAAAATATTGTCACTTTTTTTTCTTTTCAAAAACAGAGTGGAATATGATTTATAAAATACAGTTTGAATTTCCCTTTAAGTACATTTCAATGACCTTGACAATCTCAATTGCAGATTTTAGAAAAGTTTGCAACATCTTTCAAATAAAATCTTTCTGAATTTAAAGCATATAGATTTTAAATTTCTTAGTTCTTTATAACAGATTGGTTTATAATAAATTTATTTCTACAAAACGGTGTCTATCTTAGATATAGACCTGATTCTCTGAATGTTCGCACATTGAAGAAGCAATTCAAATGTCACGGATAATCGACAACCTTCCTAACAGTTTTACCTCGAACACTACAGCAATGATACGCAAAAATGAACCTTATCCAAAAGGTATAGAGTGCAATACCTTGTTGTATAACTTCAAATTTGTGTTGAACTCAAATTGTCGTCGTATATTCCTGATAAATAAGTCCGTTCGATTTGTTTATCGCCTGATATGAAGCCGATATGAGAATATTTATCAGAGATAAGATTTTATGTTTTTTCGATGCGAAGTTACCGCGAGAACGATATTGACGAATGAAAATGTCACCACAACGAACTATAATTTAGAATCACAACTTATTGAATGCGATAATTACTTGGTATTAAAAAAAAACTAAAGTAAGTAGCCTATGTGTTCTTCAAGAATATCCTCTACATCTATGCCAAATTTCATCAAGATCCGTTCACCAGTTTAAGCTACGAACTCTAACAAACATCTAATATATAACTATACTAATATAATAAGGCATAAACACACACTACTTTGTGGCGTACGATTTCTGCAATCACAGCTCACTTTTGAATAATCCTTACTTTAATAAAAAGCCATACCCTTACGCTTTATCTATATATTTTCACGCTATTAAACTTAGGCAACTAAATTGGAAAAATATAATAGTGGGAAAGGGACCATAAACTACAAGATGCCAACATTGAGGAAGCAAGGTTATTATGGTAACGGTAATTTTGACATTTGCAATTGAGAATTTGACAAATGTAAACAATAAAATAAAGTTTTTATAATTTCATGTGGATTTAACATATATTATAATAGTAAAATATATGTTAAAGAATAAAATAGTAACGTAAATGACATAGACGCAATCACAGTCTACATTTAATAACCAAAAGGAAGTAATGAATCATAGATACAATCAAATGACTCACAAACATATGAGAAATTAAATACCATTGTTTTGATACTTTACAATGTAATGGTCAAAATATCAATCGAATAACTTTGGTTTGCGATTCTGATTGAATTTGGTTTATGGGTTACAGCTATAAATGCTCTCAAGATACACTCGGCTGCATATTTATAGGTTATTTCAGACACAACAAATAATGTTATTGTTAATCCCCACTTTTATACGTTTGAAGCAAAAATTTAACAGACAAAGCAGTTTTTTTTTATTTTATTGAATATTTGAAAAGTTTTGGGCCTGTCCCACCAATTTTAAATTGATAACAATCAAACGTGAAAAATATGTTATGGATCGGATCTGATAGCGACGTCATTTTTAAACTATCTGAGCCTCTATCAGCCAGTGGTGGGACAAGCACATTTGAATATATTGTGTATAATACAAACAATAGGTTATTTTACAATATTGTTCTTAACTTTTAGCTGCTATTTAGTCCTAAGTTTAATTAGATGCCTTCCTAGGGCTATAGTCCACTGCTATCAGTCTAGTATCTAATTCTAGTGTTTCGTGGAAAAACCAGTCGCCAGCACGCCACTGCCACTTGACGCCCCTTTGTTATGTTGAAAATCGATACACGCTCGCAATACAAACTCGATAAGCTTACACGTATTAGAATTTTAAATAATTACATGTATGTGTGAAAGAATAGTTCTTTTAGATTATTACAATCTGTTTGTACTGTTTATATCTTGTTAATAGTTGCAAAAGTCAGAATGTAAACGATTCAATGACATGGAAGCATTTAGATAATACCGTTACCATAGCAATCTTGCTTCTTAGCTGTTATTGGATTACAGTTTTAGTCCTTTTCTCGCATGAGGATTTTTTCATTTTAGTTATTTCTTAAATTAAA